AGCGTGTCGAATCAACTAAGATATATACACTCCGTATGCAAGTGATGAAGGAATATAGCTGCATAAGTAAAGGAAGTTGACGATAGAAAAGTTAAAGTCGTCACGTTTTTCATATAGCTTGGTTGTTAAGTTACCATTGACGTCTTTTTCAAGAACAATATCCAAATATGAAACAGATATGTCAGAATCTGTATTGTCTTTAATCTCAAGCTCTCCTTGATATATCGTTTCAACGTAAGAATGGAAATTACCATTGTTAATTGACATACGTCATTGATATATTTAATAGTCGAGTTGAAGGCCACAGCAAGTTTGTTCTCCTTTTCACGCATAAGATTTTGCATATTTTGAATATGAAATACATATGAATATTAAAATAGGTCTGCTAATATTGGAGCGCAATTGGTACTTATGGGAATTCCAATAGATTGTTGGAAGTTTCCTGTGCAAGAAAAAAATGCAACATCTAGAAACATTGAATATATAGTAAAGGGGACTCTGGTTCAAATGTTTGTTTGCCATGGCTAATGTATATTTTTTTTCTTTAAATTATTTCGAAAGGGCAAATTTGTGATCTAAGATAAGTTGATTGCTTTATAATTTTCTTTTAGCTTTTAAAACAATCGTTTTATTAAACATTTTGCTGTTGCAGTGGCTAAGTTTTATAATGTAAAATCAATTTTTGATTATGAAGGTTAGGAAGTCTAACATGTTTTCGTGTTTTCCGTCACATGTCGCCTTCGCGCAGCTTCCTTCATGGTTAAATTTTCAAATGTAGAGAACCCTGAATATTCTCTGAATTCTTGTAAATATAAATATATAGCAGTGTTGTGACAACAATTTTTAATACTTCTGAACTCAGAGTTGAAATAATTCGACATGTGTGTTCATTTTTGCGCCCTATGAAGATACTTTTTCCAGTGTAAAGCGTTGTAGCTTTTGTGGTATTGTGAATTTTTTGTACAAATAGAGTTACACAGTGTGTCACAACTGACCTCAAGTTGCGATGGATTCTTTATAGAATTTACTAACCAAAATAAAAAAATATTTTGGAAGACCTCCTGTGTACCAAGAAACAACAAGATTTATAAAAATTTACAAAAAATTTATCTACATATGTACAATGAACAAAACATGACTGAAAGTTCAATCATGGTTGTCACGCGAGCCTCACACCACGTTCCAACGTCATCCACGGTCCACCATATTGTCCACCATAGTGTCCCGTCCGGTCCACCATATCCTATTTAGCCTCACCACGTAAACAAACCCTCCGGTTCAAATAAAGCTTAATATACAATTTCTGGTCACCTACAATTTTCATAGGGTTTTTCTAATAAAATGTTCAAAACACTTATCTATTCAAAATACTAGATTTTACAAACAAATTACAAAAGAAAACATGTATTTTTGCCGTTTAACAAGTAAATGAATTAGAGCGTAATTATATACATTCTCGCTATATTGCAAACAGTTTTACATAGAATATTCCTCTTTAAAGCTAACAACAAAAATATTGTAAAGTGTAAAAACTTACTGAGCTGTGGCATTTTACACATAAAAATCATACTGTCGGCCCCCTGGTCTTGCTTTCAACGCCGCTACAAAACATCCCTGAATCCCAAGATCACACAGCAGGGGAAATAGGACACACCAAAGTTCACACAGCATGGGTTATATAAAAGGCACACCCAAGATCACTCAGCATGGGTAAAGTATAACTCACGGCGTCCAGACCTCATCTGACGAACACTAGCCAACACCCAGTATAAATAACTGACCAAACTACTCAAACGGGTTCGACGAGTATACGGTGATAAAAATAGAACAAGGTACAACTCAGTGACCAATAGTGCGTAAATGAAATAAACGATAACTTCTAACGCCCAAATAAAGATAACTCTTACCAAATCCTGTACAATAAGCTATGACAAACATTGACACAATGTCACTTGTGACACAGTGGCACACTTGCCCAATATTTAGGCCTTTGCTCTTTAGTTTCCGTTATTCACATACTAACTATTGCAGACATTATAATAACCTACTACCAGAAACAGTTATGACTTGCACACTATGGATTAATCGCTGGAAATCAAAATTGGCGACAAAAATTGCATGAAAAATTTCCGAGGGGTGAGTAGAAAAAATAATACCACGGAGCATACTTTCTATTATTTTACCTTATCTTTTATTTTACCTTCTTAGCTTGACAAAAGAAAAATAGGGTAATTGACAATTTCACATTTTTTAAATCAATATACTTAATTAAGTAACTATTTGATTTGATGTTGCCCTCTTTTCTGAATCACTTATCCTATTTCATAAAATCTGAAAAAAAAATTCTTAGAAAAGCAAAAATTATTTATTATGCATACATTGCCTGGTTAAAGGGTAAGGTTATTTTCATCCCAACAAAGAAAAATATTTTATTTCATTAATTGTTCCTTGAATCCAAACAGTTATTAAATATTTGGTTTATAATGCTAAGAATTAATAAATCATTTAACAAATTCATTATAAGGTAATAATGAACAAAATGAAGAACGTCAAATAGAGTGTTTTTCTATCTTTATCGACGTTCCCAGACTATTGTTACTAGTTATGTATGATATGAGCAAATAACGTGATCCAGACCGTCATGTGACACGATCTGTAGCTTTCTGTTCACAAAAGCACAACTCTTTCCCATTTTTATATTTCCAACCATGCACTTTAAACTTTTATATGATTTTTTTTATCAGAATAGCCAAAATGTCGAGAAAATGACAAACTGATAAGGATTTTTGTACCAAATGAAAATAAGCATAGTGATCATCTTAACCTTAACCGTTCTTAGATCCTTGTTAATGAAATTGGGATAAAGTATGGGTGCTTTCGTAAGAATGATCATCCCCATAGGATTAAAGTCCTATAAAATATTTCACGAATCTAAATATATATAAATATATATTCTTGTCAACTTTTTCTTATTTGTGACTTTGCAATCTTCGATAACAAATTGCTCATGATCAACTTGTGGCGCATCTTTTCCTCAGCTAACTCTCAAAATAAGAACATCATTTATATCTATCTCCTTTCTTGCCTTAAAAATCCCTCAAATAAATGAATGAATTATGGCAAGTCTCTAGTTTTCAGAAACGAATTATTTTATGCTACTGCAAAGAAAACTCTGACATATACTTGAGCCCCAGTTGCCAAAGTATGACTGGGTCAACTATTTCTGTCCCATGTCATTTACATATTTACGTTATTTCCATATTATGACGGCAAAAAAACGGAGCAATACATTACATATCGTCTGTTTATAGAACATGTTTATCGCTAAACATGTGCCAAATTTAATTCTATTTTGTTATTTCGCAGCTAAGTTATTGATATTGGTCGAGGTCTGATACAGGATGTGATGTGGAAAAAGGTATGTTGTATTATATTTATTAAATACTTAGTAATAAAATAAAGGACATATTAAGTTGAGAAGAAAAAAAGTAAATAATCATGCACAGACTTCTTACATACATGTACATGGTCTATTGTCTCATACGATTTGGGTTTGTGTCTATTTCTATTTCAATGCACTCGATCCTAATTTGAAAATAATCTATTAAATGTATTTGTAAATTAAGATTAACCTTATTTTCAAAAAGTTAAGATTAAAAGAATATGAACCCACCAAAAACTGTGTATGATCACAAGTACTGTTTTTGTGGTTAATTTACTAAGGGTGTGATATTGACGTCTCAAAAGCCGTATCAGCCCTGCAGGGCTGATATGGATTTGCGGGCTGATATAGGTTATCAGCCCTGCAAATCCATATCAGGCCTACAGGGCTGATACGGCTATTGAGATGGCAGCCATATCACATATGCAAAAATCCTGTATTTATTACTAAGTGTGTAATAAAAATTCTTATATTACCGTTGAACAAGAGTTGAAATTCTTATGCAATACCTCTAATGGAATTATTCACAGCAGCACTAAAGGACCAAATAATTCGGTCAGTGAAGTTCATTTAATGAAGATTAAACACATCACATGGTATTTTTTTTTAACTTTTTATTTAATAAATAAATTTGAGGTATTATTAAAAAATTATGACAAAAATTTTCGAATTCAGACCTGTTTTTTATTACTGAAAAGAGGAATAATATTGTTTCATAGTAATACTCTCCCGAAAAAGGCATTGGACCAAACCTTTTGTATACTTCGGAACTTATGTAGAAATGAAGTAAACTAAATTCAACTGACTATGGAATTCACACTTTTCTATCAACCTTCAAAGTAATGGAAGAAAACCCGTACGAATACAGGTCGCTATTTCATGCCGATACCAGTGACAATAAAGCAGTCGGGTGTGCCGAAGAGTATAACCTGGTGTTGATGTATCGTTGTGTTTTGGGCATGTTTAAAAACTAATTTGCACATATTATTTTGCAATAAAAGGAAATGAGAGAAACTTAATAAAATTCTAAGAAACACATCATTATGATAACTGAAGAATGAAATTTTCATATTTTGTTGAAGTTTCTTGGTGACTATTTATTTGCCATCTTGGTCCAAAAGAGTTATATAGATTTACTCAGGGCTTCTTAGACAAATCGTTCAAAGTCACTTTTGTGATACACATGTAGCTTTTGATCGAGGGTTCTTCATACTATCTAAATAACAATTATATCATAATGTACGTACTTGTGTGAAATGTATGATTCAGAAACAGGGAGAATTTTTTTAATTACAGAGTTTTCTCACATATAAAATAAAACTCATGAGAGCAGCTGTTGTCATTCCACATTCCTGTTCTTGCTGGATGTCTCGAGATTTCAATACAGTCTTCCCGGCTTTCTGATTATTGGGCTCTCCTTTGTTCCAGTCCGTGAATGTCAGGGAACTTCCTGTAGACGCCCAAACAAACCTCCCCTCTAAGATCATTATCTCCAGTATTTGAAAATTCGTCTTTCAGGTAGGATAAAGAATTTTACAGTGAATTAAAATATGACAAATACAAAAAATATTGTTAATTCTACATGAGATCTTACAATGAAGTACATACTTCTATTATATATGCTGGTGCGTTGTTTTAAAAAATTGTTTTCTTCCTTTGTCTCTATCTCGACTAATTTCGCACCATACTGTAGACATTTTATCTGCAAAATATATATATAAAAATAACACAAAGAAAATTGAAGATTCTGAAGTGACATTTGTAAAGAATATACAAATCTGAAACAATATGTAACCCCCCCCCCACCTTGAAAACTCTATAAAGGCCTGTATTCGGTACATATAGAGAAATAACGAAATCTTATTGACCGATCATACCCGCTTGTTAATTTACTGAACAAATAGGCGGGGCATTTTTTGGTAAGATTAATTAAAGCAGAACATATTTTGCCATCGGCATGAGATATGTCAGCCCAAGATACGAACGAACGATAGATTTGCAAAGAAGGTTATTGTAGTGACCAAAACATTTATAAAATGCTGATTTTACAACAATCCGTGTTATCTTCTCTGTAACTTCAAATTGAAAGCTGACATCTTTATATTTACACATATAATTAGGACATTTAGTAAACGGTTATTTATTTTGTAAGTTATGAGAAAAAACAAATGCTTACAGCTGTGTTGTCCCATGACTTGTTCTGTACTATTATCATGTAACAAGAAGATCCAAATGATATCCAATTTGATGAACAAGACTTTGAGGGCATATCTAAATGTAAATACAAAGGAAATAACATCATAATGATAAACCCTAAGCATTCTTATTGACCACTACTGGCCTCGTTGCCGGTACGTTGTTTGAAAAAAAAATCTTTAGTTTTTGTTCATAATTGACGAAATTTGATGTTTTACCTTTCGTTATATTAGTAACTTTATTTTCCAGTTCTATGAGTTCAGTTTGCATCCTTTCTATTATTTGGAGAAGTCTTATGTCTTGTTCTAAAAATAGCATAAATATGTTTTTAGTTGTTTGTTTTCTGAATGCATGAAGAAAAGTTATGTATGCATAATGAATTTAAAAAAAAACTAATATAAAATTATATATTAATGTCTTTTAATGTTTAAAGTATATAGAAATTTCATATGTACAATAACATGTCAAATGCCCTAGGTCACATGACAAATATGATAAGTCACATTTCAAATGCTGTAAGTCACGTGTCAAATGATATAAGTCACATGTCAAATGTTACATGACACGATAATAGTTCCCTGTTATTAACTCTCTATTGTTGTTTAATAATCACTTATACTCAGTTTTGCTCAGTTTTATTTTACATACGCTCAGTTTCTTGTGATACAACATTTTATCATCACTGCACTGTTATTAAATAAAGTTAATGACGCAATCATAACAAAAAGTCGTAACATTTACAGACAAAATGTAAATTCGTCGCTCTTACTATATATAGTTTCACAATTCTTAAAATTTCTTATTTACAAAATAAGCATTCTACTAATCTCAAATGTATGTATGCTGTTAGATAAATATCAAATAATTGTAGAACGCTGCAATTGCTGCAGCTGCTTACTTATATGCATCTAGTATGCTTAAACAGCTAAGTGAATATTCAATCATTAAGGAAAATAAATCATTTCTAGTTGAATGTGTTAGTTATGTAACATGCATACCTCCAAATTTTTTATTAATAAAACATATAACCCGCTTATTTCAAAGGTGCATATTAACACAATGACATTTATTGAAAACTTTTGTAAAAATTAAAATAATTCAATAAATTGGAAGGAAATACCTCAATCATTGAAAAAATAATGTTTCTTTTCACTAACCTATACTTGGGTAGTTCTTTTAATGAATTTCATTGTGTTTATGTCTTATTTAAGGATTGTTTTCTAGTTTTGTGTAAGTTATTGGTGTGTGAATCACACAGACTTGTCACGTAGGCATCTTTCATGAAAAATATGCCTATGTGCAAGTCTGTGTGATTCAAAAACCAATAATTCACACTTAACTGAAAACATTCCTTATATTTACATTTTAACTATTTGGAGGCAACTAAAATTTACTCAATATTTGAATTTCTCGCTGTCCTATATAATTGCATTTTACTAACTTCGCTGCACTCTCATTGTGACGTCACGTTAACTCACGTTTCTCCGTGTAAATTTCTACGCGTGAGTATACATGAAAATGCTTTCAAATTGATTTCACAGTAAGCTTACTTGAAAAACACAGCGAATGTAAATATTGTCCCAAGCAATTAACGAGTGATAAAGAAACGCAACATCTTATTTTGAAAAGTTTAAAACTAATAAATAATTAATGCATGCTGCTGTAAAATAAATCATTGTTTTTGTTAAATAATCCCATTAAGATATGACTA